GCAGCAAGTTGCAGATGCCAAGAGGAGGTCCCAGGGGGCAAGCCTGGAATGGGTAAGACCCTTCTGCCCTGCTGAATAACCCGGAGGGAGCAGATGAACCCAAACAGTGCTGCTGGGAACACTGAGCATGGAAACATCACCAGGGAAGCCACAGGTTATTAGGAAGGTGTCCTCAATGCAAACCTGCACCAATGTCTTCTCCAAAGGATGGGGCCCTAATTTTCTCCATTACGGCTAAATCATGATTGTGTTAAAATCACTGGCTGACTGGAGTGCCCCACCCTTTGTGTTCGAATCACAGCCTGAAAACTGAAAGCCAGGAAGGGATATTATTCCCTGGTTTAGAGGTGGAACTATTTTAATGGGCATCTAATAAGGAATGTTCCACTACTTATAAATCACGAGGCTTAACATTAATTATTTCAGGTTGTGATGGTGCCTTACCATGACTGAGCACTGCATCCCAAATCCAGGATCCTGGGCTAACAAACCCCTCAGCTTTCCTGTGCACACAAGACCAAACCCCTGCTGGGTATACAAAGGAGATGGGAAGAGGAGCCACCTCACACGAGGCCGGATTAAGTCTGGCTTTAAATTCAAGCAGACATCCCTTTTTTTTTTTTTTTTTGCTCTGTTTTCCCCCTCTGGCCGTTGGAGAGCTGCTCCAAGGGTTTGTTAACATGGATTATCTTGTCTGCATCCCCCGCACTAATTCCTGCTTCTGCATCCCCGACAGGCACCTTCGCTTGCAAAGGAAGGCAGGAGAATTAGAATTCAGTGCTGCCCTTCTCAGTTCCCCTGAACGCTCACAAACCTGAACAGGGCTGCGGGGAGGGTTCTGAGGGAAGCCTTTTCCCAAGAAAATGTGCGATTTCCTCACTGGAGGTCTTCTACAGGGATTTTTCTCTCCTCTCCTTATAAACATACTTATCCCAGAGCATGGATTTTTTTTTTTTGGCCCCCAGCTAGAAACACTTGTCACAAATCAGCATTTTGACACAAGTGTCCTGATTTTGAATTTTAAGGATAAAATGTTTTGACTTAATAATCAGCAACAACGTGTTGCTTCAGGACAGAACTGAGATGGGAATTTTTTGGCTGTTTTTTTTCTTTCTCAAAAAACAAATCAAAACAAAACCACTGGAAACAAACAAACAACAAAAAAATCCCCAAAACATAAAAAGGGGCAAAAGAGAAGAGTTTTAAGGATTTCTCTCAAGCTCTGAGGCAAAAAGACACCAGAAAAATTCTCTGAGCAGCAGAGATTAAGCAAATATATTGGTACCCATAAATCCTCTGTACTTGTGCTTTCCTCCAAACCCCTGGAATTCTCTGTTCCTCCATCTGGCACGCTCCTGCTGCCCAATATTTTAGATATATATATGTATATTTTACACTCAGCAGGAGGGATATTGTGCCTGCTCTGTAGGGCTGCATCCTCCCAGGAAAGAAAATACACACTTGGAGTTGCCAGCGATGACTCAGGTGGAGAAAAGCCAGAACTGTTCCTAAGCTGTGATCCTCTAAGCACACAATTATTATCTGTAAGAGTCCAAACAACGTGATTATTTACTAAATACATCTGAGTCATCAAACTGGCTCCCAGTGTAACTGCCCCAGGGGAACTGGAGCAACCTTATTTGTGCTCTTTTAGTTAGGAGAGGAGGAGGAAAATTTTGATTTTAGAATCCCAGAGTGGTTTGGGCTGGAAGGGACCTTGTTCCCTGATGGTGATTTTCCCCTCTAAGAAGTTTTGTGTTTGTTAAAAAAAAAAAAAAAAAAAAGAAAGGCAGATATTAAAAGGCTGGGAGAGCTGTCAGGGGTTTGTTCAGCAGTGCTATGAAATCAAGCTGCATCTCCTGCCAACTCAGTTGCCCTTCCAGGGTTTCAGAGAACTTACAAAGTCATGTAAGATGCTGCAAAGTGTAAAGATAGCAAAAACCCTTATTATTTGGTTTCACATGGCTCATTGCCACGTCTGTAGTCTCAGACAACAGACTCCTGAGCTCTCTGCAAATCAAGATGTCAACTGCACATCTGAGAACTGCCTGAAGGAGCAGATGGCCCATCCAAAAAAACCCCTAAACAAGCCCCATTACAATCCACAACCTTCTGTGGCAATCAGTTGCACGGTTTCGAGTGTGCAGGATGAGATAAAGTCCCATTTTCAAACCGCTGGTGGGTGGTGGAAAAGTGACCGAGGGCCCAGCAAGGTCATGAATTATTAAAGCGCAGCTCTGGCTCGGTGTGTTCCTCAGCAATCAGTGCTGGGGGCTGTAAAAGAGAGAGTGCCAGGGCAGAGGGACCTTTGGGGCAACCCATTCTGGACTCTTTACTGAGACAAGGAAGGTCAGTGGTGGCAATCCATTCCTGCTGGAAAAGGCAACTGTCCCCAGGGTCATCCCGGGGCAGCCCTCCCAGGGACACGGCACCATCCTCTGCCCCCTGGGCCTTCCCACCTCTTCTCTTCATCTGTGGGGTGGCTGAAGTCGACACAGCTCAAAAAGGGCATAAAATGAAGGCACAGAATTATGGAAATTATCCCAAAATCCCAGAATGGTTTGGGTGGGAAGGGACCCTAAAGCCCATCCCTCTCCACCAGCCCAGGGTGCTCCAAGCCCCGTCCAACCTGGCCTTGGGCTTTCAGAGTAGCAGACCGTGTCAGGATCATGGGTTTGTGGTGATCCCCCTCCTCCCTGGGCAGTCCATCCCAGTGCTCTGCAAGCCTCTCTGTAAAGGAATTCCAGCCTGAGCCTCCCCTGGCACAGCTTGAGGTCATTCCCTCTCATCCTGTCGCTTGGCACGTGGGACAAAGGGCAGCAGCTCCATCAGTGACCGACCGGTGCTTGTGAAAGTGTCACCAAACAAATCACCAAGGTCCTGGCAGACATTTCCCGACCAGCTTTGCACCAGCAGCCTCATCCAACAGCTCCAGCCGTGCCTGAGCCACGGCTTGGAGAGCAGCACACCCCAACTCCAGCTCGGACTGCACAGGGGGACGTTTCCCAACGTTCCAGTTCCCCTGTGCCATGGTGGGTCCTGGGGAGATCAGGCAGCTCCGAGGTCCATCTGCCCACCCCGAACCCTGAGGGAAGGCAGCAGTGCCTGTGGAACCATATGGTGACACCACCTCGGGGTCACTTTGCCTCCTCCCTACCAGCTGCTCGGGCTTTGGAGCTCTCAAACCTCCAAAGCCTCGGGGAGGGTTTTGTTTCCAAATCCTTTAAAAGCTTCCTGTGCCTCCGGGTGATGGGTCCAAATCCATCAGCCAGCACTCCTGGAAATGCCCCCCTGACAGGGGATGAAACACATCCCCTTGTGTGACTGCCCCTGTGTCACACAGCAATAAACACTGCCAGCCCTCAGATCCACTCTCTTTTCCCTGGAACATTCCAGACAATAAGGCAGCAGATGGGAAGGTTTTAGTGGAAGTATGATATGGCAAAGAAGGGGTTTGAAAGGGTGAAATATAACCCTCACACTCCTCACTCCAAGGACACTCAAAAAGGATTTTAGTCCATAAGAGCTTTTTACCTCCCAACAGCTGATTTGGAACAAGCAGAAAATTTGGGCAGATAAAATACAGTAATAGGGAATGTCTGACAGCAAGGGAGTGGGAGAACCAGCCTGGTCCACTGTGGTAGAAAATAAAGGAAAAATGCATTGAAAGGAAAACCAGTCAGTAAAAATAAATTACCTGAAAATCAAACACTCAGAAGGGAAGGGGAAAGGGGGGAAAGGGAGGGTTTCTATCAAAGCCCCTCTCCAAAACATCAGCCCCCTCTCTGGGGCTGGAGATCCTGCTGGATCCCAAACCCACAGGAACAGCACCCCAAGCACCCATGGATGATGGAATGGATAATGTGGCAGGCAGCAGGCACTCTCAGAATCATGGAAAGGCCTGGCTTGGAGGGGACCAAGCTCACCTCATTCCAAGCCCCTGTCTGGGGAGAGACACCTTCCACTAGACCAGAATCCTCAGAACACTCGTATTCAAATAATCTGCTTTTCTGCCTTGATTTGCTTATTTGAAAGGATCTTATTTCCCTGTTGATGGAAATAATGATTGTAAACAGCCTTCTAAACATTACAAAACATTCTCTTTCCAGTGAACACCCCCACCAAGTGAAGGTTTGCTGAGCACGCTGAAAATCCTGCCCTGCAACCTGCACATCTGCTCACACCCTGCCCTGCAACCTGCACATCTGCTCACACCCTGCCCTGCAACCTGCACATGTAAAGGGATGGAATAAAATATAAGGATATTTGTTTCAAAGCCACATTACTTTGTAATTAAGGTCTAGAATGACAGGGGTGAGGCGAGTTCTGTGCTGGACACATCTCTGCCTGCCCAGAAGTGACTTGAAATTTGGGCTTCAAATATTTCCACCACCTTCTTTTGGGAGAAGGCTGATGTGGGAGGGACTGGACACAACAATCACCACACAGCAGTTGCCACAGCACCCCAAAAAAAGCCCAACAGCTCTTTCACACAATCCCCAGGAAGGGCAGTTAGTCCATTAAGATGAAGGAGTGTCCCAAATTCCTGCTTATTCCTATTCCTTCCTATGGAAATCACGGCTATTTTTCTAACAATCCCCTGCTGAATGTGGATTTGCAGCTCCTCTCCTTTTGGATTATCCCCAGAGGAAAAGGTTTGGTATAAAACAGGTCTCTCACATCCAACCCCCACCTCCCCCAGAGCCGTCAAAATACAGCAGGACCACCATCATGCCCTTCCAGACGGGAATAACGCTCCAGGGATGCAAAAAGCCAAACATTTCCCCCTCCCTGCATGGTGGGGGCAGCCAGTGCAAAGATAAACTGCAGCAAGGCCAGATCTGTGGATTGATCTCCCCCCCGAGGGACTTCCTCCCATGCGCAACAGGGAGGGACCAAACCCACTCCAGCCTCTCCCCCGGCGGGCAGAGCCCTCTGGAAGCTGCAGAAATCCCTGAAAACGATGCCAGTGGAATAACTGCCCCACGAGGGGCACTTACCCTTGAAGGGCTTTCTCTCCAAACCAATCTCCCTTGCCCAGGGTGCGCAGGAAGACGGGATCTTCACTGGGGGAGTCCTCCCGAGTGACGTTCACCTGTCGGAAAACAGGACAGTGGGGTTCAGGAAAACAAATGGCTGAGCTCCTGAGTTCACTTCAGGGAGAGGTCAAACAAAAACCATAACCGAAATCATAACCAACGGTTTGGAGGCTGCAGGATGAAAGGTGCCCCCACTTCTTTTTGGGCTCCCAGATTCAGGGAAGGGAGAACTCCAGCTGGAGATAAACTCGGGGCTTTGCACTGAAGTTTAAAGGAAATGACCACCTTACTGTTAATTCTTCTTTTATTCTGGCAGTGCAAGGGAAGAGCAGATATTGCTGATGCAAAGCAAACTGTCTGCCTGCTGTAAACTGTGCCCTGCACCTTCCCCCTCCTCCTTAAAGGGTGGCCAACCCAAACCAGTGGGTTTGAGTGGTTTGCCATCTATCACCTCATCCGCAGTGGGAAATCACTAGGCATTCCCAGGAATATCTCCATCCTGCGCCCTGGGAAGGAGCCCAGTGTTTCCCAAGTGGAACAGTATTAGGTCAGCTAAAAAAAACAGTAAAAATGTGTTGAAGGTAAGAAAAAAAACACCTTCTATAAAATCCCAACAGGATTTTCCAGGAAAAAAGGTCCAAAAGCCCATTTTCCCTGTGAGCAGCAGAACAGAAACTTGGACCTTCTTTCTGCCCCCTCAGATGTCCCTCGCTTCCCATTACTGAATTTGGGGAAACTGGGAAGGAAGTCTGGAAGTCACCCTTGTAAGGGGGACTCTCAGCTGAGTATTGCAGGGTATAGTGGGAAAGAAATGAGGGGTTTTGCTCATTTACTGAGAGACTCAGCTCCTGATTTCAGCCCCAGAGTGTTCCCTGGGAGCAAACAGCAGGAGATGGATTTTTCTCCCCTTCAGGCCACTCTTCCCTACTGGTGCAGTGCCAGAAGTTTAATTAAATGTCAAGTGTTGCAACATTAATGCCCAGGGGAGGGGAGGGAGGGAGAGGCTGGGGCTGGCTTTGGGGAGCAGGGCAGCCCCAGCAGGGGGGTGAACTCACCTTTCCTTTGCTGATGATGAAGAAGGTGTCCCCTCGAGCTCCCTGTCTGATGATGTACTCTCCACTTTCATAGTGTGTCTGCCAAGAGAGACAAAATCCAGATGAAAACCAACAAACCCGAGCAGAGCCCGTTCCCAGCAGGAGCTTGGGCAGTTCTGTGGGATAACACCATTCCAGAGCAGTTCCCCAGGCTGGCACTGGCTGGCACTGACACTGTCCCGTGGGATAACACCATTCCAGAGCAGTTCCCCAGGCTGGCACTGGCTGGCACTGACACTGTCCCGTGGGATAACACCATTCCAGAGCAGTTCCCCAGGCTGGCACTGACACTGTCCCGTGGGATAACACCATTCCAGAGCAGTTCCCCAGGCTGGCACTGACACTGTCCCGTGGGATAACACCATTCCAGAGCAGTTCCCCAGGCTGGCACTGACACTGTCCTGTGGGATAACACCATTCCAGAGCAGTTCCCCAGGCTGGCACTG